CAAAACAGCCTCAGTGGACTTCACGCGCAGCTCGGGCTTGGTCTCGAAGGGGGATGGCAGGTCAAGCTTCTGGCATTTGTGCCACAGCAGACGAACACGCGCAACCAATAGAGTTTGAGACATGTCTGGGGGAAAGACAAGCTCGTCAATAAACTTATTCAGGTCCTCCAGATCAACTGCAACTGGCGCAAATTCGGCTGGGGTGAAATGCAAGAACTCGTGGCGCAGTTCAGGCGGGATCTGAGCCTCTACCAAGAGCTCCTGCATGGAACAGCTAGACGCAGCTGTAGGTGCTGGGGGAAAGCCCCAACTCCCACTCTCGTCTGACGGACCGTCGTCCAAGAGCATGAGTGGCCATTGCTCATGCTCCGCAGGGTTCACGTGCGACATGATCCTACGTGCTACGCGTGGAGGCGAACGCCGCTCCCACACACCAAGGATATAGACAGTCAATCAAAGGATCAAACACACCAGGCGCTACCGCACTACTGCAAAACAATCAACTGGTCAAAAAATAGCCTCCATACATATACACAATTGTATGATGTTTCACATAACTACACGCATATATACTGACCACATGACCGCTACAGCCCTGGAGATCAAACAGCTCGGCACACCTCGGATAAACAATTTAAGCTCAAGCACAACGCGTACAGGGTCACTTGCGATTCGATGGCATCCACAAGCCAAATAACAAACTGTAGATTCGGGGTATCCTCCACTCTAGCCAAGCACACTTGCGAACACAAGGAGCATGACACGAAACACAACTTCAGTTTGCGCACCGCAAACCCAAACTCCATTACGACTCTATATAGTGGACAGCTCAACTCACCTAGTAGTGTAATTTAAATGCACACTTGTAGATTCCTAAGACACGCAGACGTCAAGTCTAGGCGCGGCCCCACAACAATCCCTGCATAGTCACGCAATCTCTTTTCACTCAAAGCTCCATAAGCCCAAATCCTGGACGCAAAATGCGTCCCACAGCATATCCAGCATGCTCCAAAATAGAGGGTCAGGGACCCACCTCGGGCCAGATGCCCCCACACAAAGGAACAGGGCACGCTGCCCTACAGTCCACTCACCTTAATAGAATCAGGCACGGGTCCTGACCGGGCAACATGCCCATAAGCCAAGCCACCAAAATGTGGTCCACCAAGCCACTTGATGCGACTATACATCCGCAGGCAGTGCGAAATTGGTCCGTCTGCCCTGAGGAGCCTGACGCCTTCTGGATCACTAAATGGAATATTCCCGAAGCCATTCGAACCCAGGTGATCTCATCAAGTTGCCCCCAATCCTGAGGGTCCTCATCCGGCTCTACATCAGACTCTTCAAGAAAAGAAGATGCGCC